GGTGGAGAAGTTCGGGATGAACCTTCTGTACCAGGAGGCCACTCCCACGAATTGCCGGATCTGTTTGACACTGGTAGGTGCATACCATTGGGCGATGGCTTTAACTTTGTCGGGATCGGTCTGGATGCCACGGCAATTAATTATATACCGAGGTATTTAAGCTCGGTAAGAAATGACACTTTTCGGGATTAAGCCGGAGGCGGCCGTTGCGCAGTCGGCGGAAAACTTCTGCGAGATGTATTAGATGTGATTCGAAAGACGGGCTGGCGACGACGATGTCGTCCAGATATACAAAAACGTGCGGTTCGAGTTCGGGACCGAGTACGCTATCGAGGAGCCATTGAAACGTGGCCGGTGCAGAATGTAGCCCGAACGGCATGACTTTAAATTGCATCAGCCCTCGTCCGGGTACTGTGAACGCGGTTACCGGTCGGCTTTCGAGAGCGAGGGGTATCTGCCAATATCCCTGTTTTAGATCGAGGGTAGACAAATAGCGCGCGCCGCGGAGTTTGTCTAGTGCGGCGATGTGTGGCAGCGGATACGCGTCTCGTTCGGTCACTTCGTTTACCTTGCGGAAATCGATGCAAAACCGTCGTTTGCCGTCTTTTTTTCAAACGATCACGACGGGGGAACTCCATGCGCTGGAGGAGGGTTCGATGATGCCTTCGTCCTCCATCTGTTGCACTTCTTCGTCTATAATTTTTTGCATCGCGGGATTTCGGGGGTGATATCGCTGTTTGATCGGTACGGGGGTTTTTACTTGGATGACATGTGTAATGCGGTCGGTGGGCCCTTTCACGCCCTCGAATTTGGCCAGTTCGACATTCAGGAAGGTCGTTAATTCGCGTTCTTCTCAGGACGTGCGGCGCGTTAAGCGGTGACGGCATAGGAAGGGTGACATTGTTCGGTGGTTGTGGATGGAGGGAGCAGTGTCAAGCGGAGGCGGGCCCATAGGTCTATGCCGATCAGGATCGTACTGTCTAGAGTCGGTAGGATCTGGAAGGTGTGACTGACATCTTTGTGGTGGGTGGTTAAAGGCAGCGTGATCTTCCCGTTAATATGGGCGAGTGCCCCATCGGCTAAATGGATCTGGTTTTCGGCGGGGGTAATTTCGTAACCGATTTCTTGAGCGTAGCGCGCGGTCTCAGAATTTATCATCGAGATTTCGGACCTCATGTCTAGGAGTGCGGAGAAGTTGCAAGTGCCGATTCGGACGCGGATGTGTGGACGAGGTGTATATTCTACGTCAGCGAGTTTTCCGGTCGGGGTATGTTGTTGGCGGCCCCGGCCGTTGGGGCGTTTCCCGGACGGGAGTGGCATTCTTTTGTCAGCACCCCGTCTTTGCCGCATTGCGAGCAAAATTTCCGAGCAGGTCGTTTGCACGAGAAACAATCGTGACCTCGTTGCTTGCACCTCCAGCACGTATTCTGGCGATCATATGGAATTGGTTGCGACGGAGTGGCCGTATTCACGCGTCGACATTCTCGTCCTTCTTTATTAGTTCGCGAACTTTTTGTATTTCTTCGTATTCGGTGGCTTGGTCGGTAAGATCGTGCAACGTGGTCCTTTCGTTAACCCGGACGAATATTTTATACTCGGCCCTCATGTTCTCGTAGAGTCGGTCTATTTTCTCTGGTGTCGAGTGATTTCCCGCGCGGCGCATTAACGTGAGCATATGTGTGACGTACTGCGAGAAGGTTTCGTCGAGGTGTTGCCTCCGGTCGCGAATTTCTTGTGCTAGTTTTACTGATAACAACGCGGTAGGAAATAACGGCGGAAATTGGTTAAGAAATCCTCCCAGCCCGACCATTCGTTCTCGTTGTTGCGATATCATGATAGGGCATTACCTTTAAGCAATTTGGGCAGTCCTTCCAACATAGTTTTGTTGGAATATCGATATTGTCTCTGCAATTCGGTAAGCCTTTCCAGAAAGGAGAAAGGATCGCGGTCGTCGAAGTGGCACCCCCATTTTCGGATTTAATTCATGGTCTTTGCGTGACCCAGTTCTGCCGAGAGTAAGCCAGGAAGCGGTGGGGTGACTGCGGATGGTTCGGTATCGGTGGATGTTCCGGCTTTTACGGTAGGCATAATGTGCGGATGAGTGTTAGCGTACGTTCGTAATCGGCGGCGGAGGTCTTCGAGAGTCGCGGTTGTGTCGAGATCGAATGACCGTGCTATACGAAGGGCGTCTTGCTTTGAAAGAGTTTGTATCCAGGCTGGCATCTGCTATCCCCTTTTTATCTATTTCTTAAAACGGTCCCTGTTCGGGCGCCATGTAATGGTACGTCCCTGCGCGCTCGGTTTTTATTCCTCGGCACGGACGCGGGGACGTGCACTCGGTTATCGCTCGTCGGATGCCGGGTTCGGGAGATGCGTTGCGGGCCGGGCTTTAATTAATTTACAATAATTTGTGACGTCTCGCGGCGCGGTTGTTGTCGTTTTTCCGCCGGTCGCTTTGCGATGCTCGTAACGCGATTCGATTGCGGATATGACGGATGCCGGGTATCGGTAACGCGTTGCCAGGCAACCGGGTCCGCGCGTATGCGTTGCTAGGCAACCGTCGACGCTGGCTGTGACACGTGGGGCGGATGTCGCGGGAAAGCCTGAGAACGCTCCGACTTTTTTCGAGAAGAGCGGAACAAGAATATCGAGAACGCTCGGTATTCTTGTGGAGCGAAAAATCTGAGAACACTCCGATTTCTCGAGAAGGAATAGAACAAGAATATGGAGAACGCTCGGTATTCTTTGAGAGAATCTTCTCTCACTGTTCTGGTCGGAACGGTTGTTTGTAACGGACAGGTCGCGGATAGGACTGTGTGTCTTTTTCCCAAAATTCGTCGGGTATTTATACCCATCTCTGCGTCACGTGTCACCGTTTAGTTGGTTAGCGTTTGTTAAGTAAAATAGCTGATCACGTCGTCGATGCGTAACAGCTCGCTGGCATAATGTGTCGGTCGGTCGCGGTCGGGAGTGTTCGGGCGGCCCCGGATGGTGCGGGCCGCATTAGCGCGCATCTTTCGGATGCTCCGTTACAGTACATTATTTCTTTGTTGTCAGATTGGCAACATACCGTTTCGATTGCAGCTATGAATTGATTCGTTGGTTCGAATAAATTCTAATCTGGGAGATGAAATGTACTTCTCGCCTTTACAGCATACAACAGCTATTGGAATAGTGAATGGCTTGGGTTTTTTAAAATAAGCATTCCTAAAACTTGCCATGATAATCTAAATAGCAATTGATATAATAATTTATTTTTATCCCAACAAATTTTTTATCTGCATCGAATAATTTGCCTTCTTGCAGTTTTTTACATATAAAATATCGCTACAATTTATTTTTAAGATTTGTATAGTATACTTGATTTAAGATAAAGATTAACTAATATTGAAATATTTATGTACATATAGGAATACATAAATTCGAAATTATATGTTCTTTGCATAAAATAGAAATTAATATTTCTTTTATAGTTCCTGACAAAAGAGTTGGATAAAATCTACATGTAGGGTATATTGGAAGCAAGATATCTTATTACATCCTTGTAAAACTTCGTATTGTTAGCAGAACCAACCTGCAAGTAAGTTGCTATCTGTACGCGATATCACATGGCTTTAATCAATATCATAAAATATTCGGGTTTTTTTTAAACATTAATTGTCATTTGCGCAATCGGAATAAAAGTAAATTTCCAAATATTCTAAATGCAAGTAAAAAGATAATTACTTTAAAGAAAAATATACCTGAAATAGCGTTTACATAAAAAACAACTATGTATTGATAATTCCAAAGATTGTCGTTAATATTAAAGATAATTAATTAAATCGAGTAACATTTTTGAGAAAAAGTTGTTAAATATCTAAGATCCTGCCGAGGGAATTATCCATGTCGGTTGGATATATTCTCGATTTGTTTTATATTACATATCTTTATTTAATCTTTATTTAATTTGCTACGAATATTATTGTTATTATATATAAAACATTGTCATAATAGATATATGATACAGCGAGGGAGGTTCGAGTCATTGTGCAATTGGAAGAAATGAGACAGAAGATCGTTCTTCTATCGGAAGATTCGCTTCTAGCCGAAGCGAAGACGCTAAGCGCACATGATTTTTCTTCAGTGTGCATGGTTGTCAAGTTTCTCGCGCATCGTTGGCTGACTACGTGTATCGCTCAATCACTTCATCCGTCGACTGTCAAATGTCGAGGTGTGCATGTCTTCGCAGAGAGAAGCCTTTCGTCGCCAAAAATGTAAATAAATACATCATTTGCTCTTTCCTTTTATTAGAATATTTCAAATAACACGCGTGTCTAAAAGGCATCTTATAAAGGCATTCTCACAGAAAGTGTACGAGTAATTTTTTTGATCTAATGGATTATAGAAATGGATTATTGTTTAATACACATGTTCGGACACATTCACGCGAATACATATACATTACATATATCTATATGTCATTTTCTTGACATTGCTGTTAGCCGTTGATTTCAATTTAGATTACTTTAGTTAAATTTAGTGCTATATAAGAGAAAGGAAAAAACGTTTTATAGACGTTTTATTAAATCTTTTAAACATCATCAAGTCGTATTATCTGGAATATATTTTAAGATTATATTAAGTCACGCACGCACGCACGCACGCACGCACGCACGCACGCACGCACGCACGCACGCACGCACGCACGCACGCACGCACGCACGCACGCACGCACGCACGCACGCACGCACGCAATATATTAATATTTATTTTACTGTTTTAATTATTTAGAAAAATAGAAATAATTTAGCAAAGATGTTTAAATGATGGCTTGAATGATAGAGCAAGAAATACGCATATTTTTCATACAAAGATGCTGAAGCATAACGGCCGCACAGCTGCTGAACCTTGAGCAGTAATAAAAGCCTCGTTTCAGAAATCGGCAGAAATTTTGCTAACTAAATTCCAGCTCTGCACTAGATCGTAAATAGAATGTAGGTCAGAAAATCACTGCTATGTATAACGCTCTCTTCGCGTATTATTAAAAAATAAAGTGTTCGTATTTTGAATGTATACAGTTTAAGTGGATCAAGAGATATCTATCTAAGAAATTAGAAATAATTTTTGCCAATTAGTTACATTTTTTATACAAATCATACATTTTTATACAATATATGTATCTACATATTACTATTTCTTTTAAGAAGTATAGAATTAAAAATTTACATCTCATCCTTATTATTTTTTGATTTCTTTCTGAAACCTTTGGAGACTAATAATTCGTTACATTCTTCTCGAGTCAACCTGGACAATATTAATCTCTCTATTTCCTGTAATATTTTTAGAGATTAATACATATTTAATATTATGTTTAATTATAAAATTTCTGTTATTGAACCTCTTCATGTATATTGAATAAAACAAGTTCTGGTGTTGCACCAGGAATATGCTTGAATTCCACATTATCGCTGTATTGTATATTAAGGATTATAATTCCTAAGATTCCATCGTCCAAATAAAAGAAATAATACAATCAGGAAAAATCTTAATTAAAGAAAGGTGCTACAAATATTTTTGCTTTTATTTGAAAAAAGTAAAATAAATATCATTTTTTACAGTTTTTGAGGCAAAGAATTCAATGATACTTTAAAAAAAAAAGGAATTTAAATCGGAAAAATGTATGTCATCCCAAGTCTTAAAATAATCAAATATCTCGAAAAATATAAAAAAATACGAAAAATATTTCAGATAAATTATAGAATTTCAAGAGGTTCCTATGATTATAATATCTATTTGCAGATAGCGCTATTGAAATCTTTTTCTAATCATTTTTTAAATGAAATCACAGCAAATAGATATGTATAACTGTTATATTGCCATAATAAAACAAAAATGTAACAAATATGTAATATAATATACATATATAACATGTAACATCCATATTACTTATAATTTTTCACTTACTGAATGTTAAAATTACATAATATGTAACATTGAATAAATGTAACATTGAAATATTATATAACCATTACATAGTTATAAAAATGTAAATAATTTATACACAATATTGCATTTATATAACTTGCTAAAATATTGTTTAAATAAATGATTTCAATGTAATATAATTTCTATATTATTAATTGTATTATAGTTATTTTTTCATCTTGATTAATAAATGTTAAAATAATATTTTATTTATCATCTTAGAATCTCTTATTTGGAAAGGTTCCATTTGGATAGATTCTTATTTTAGAGATCTTTTATTCTATTAGTAGTATAGTTTTTATTTACGAGAAATAGAACTCTACTATCTTTAGCTGCCGCATGTGATATTGTCATCATATTAATATTCATTTATTATGATATATAAATAACGAAACAATATTATAGTTTTATAAATCTGTTAGAAGCATTAGGTTGTATACAAAATAAAGTTACATACCTGTAACTGGAACATAATATCTGTTATTCTATACGTTACTTCTATGTCATGTAACACTTATATTCAGTGTTTGTTGAGATATATTTTGTTACATAATATAATGTTACACAATATTCCTTTAGTTACTCTAAATATAAAAGTATTAATATATAAATATTAAAAAATCAATAATTGAATCATATATGTTATATTATTTTGTCAGAATATGTCAGAGTAAAATATAAAATGTCTTGTAAATTATTGACTTTTTGATAATTGTACTTTAATACTTTTATATCCAGAATAACTGGAGAAATTGTATTATGTAAGAAAAAATGATTCCATTTAAAAGAAAACAATTATAAAAAATTTCAAGTAGTTTGTAATTGCTATTTGCAAATAAATCAATATCATGATCATGTAACCTTAAAATCCTATTTTTTTTTCATATCTTTCATATCTTTTGAAATATTTAATAATTCCAAGACTTTTAGGATCTATTGTATACTTGAAATCGCTATAACCAAAATTCAGACATTATTATTTAGATATTTTTATTCTACTCAATGTAAGATAATTATATCTTTACAGCAAGAAAATTACTAAATATAGTAGGTAGAAAATAGTTGCTAGTAGATATATAATAGACATATTTTCATAATTTCTGAATATTTCTGTATATAGAACATATTAATTTCTCCATTAATACAATAAAATATTATTCTCTTAAAATAAGAGATAAAACAAGAAGCATTAGAAGCATTATTTTTCAAGACTTTTTAGCACCAATATTGTCAAATCTAAATGGTTATAAAATAGCAGTTACTTGATTTTTGCTGCTAATTTGCCAACAAATTATGCCAGCTCTACTCAATTTCTGCTAGCAATTTTCTGGTAGATTATGTCAGCAGATTCTATACTATTTTTATCATCAATCTGCTATCTAGTTATGTTCCATAATATTTGCTAATAGAATATAAATTGAATATAGACACAATTCATGCTAATCCACTGACATGTTTTGATCGAATCTGCTGCTAGTTTACTAACATTTTGCTTACTGGATATATAGACATAATCAATAACATTCATTCATATATGCCTCCATTTATAAAAGATTGATTAGAAATTAAAAAATAAAAATTTAAAGAACATGAATATATATAAAAATAAATGAAGAAAAAATAACTCATTTCATCAAAATATATACTTTTTTTACAGTATATATAATTTTTTTAAATTTCATGTAAAAAGTTGTTTACTTTTTTATTTCTTAAATATTAATGTTATTTTAAATCATTCTGCAAACAGAAAAAAATATATTATAAACATTTCATATTTATAATAATGCAATTGAAAATAATAAAAATTATAAAAATGTAAAGTATATAATTATTGTAAAGGATACTATAATGGTAAATCCTCGAAGATGAATTGTTTGATGTCTAACAATCGGTTGAGAGAACAGCCGCTACAGCTCTATAGAATGAATAAAAAATAGAGACAATATAATAATCTTTTGTTTACATTTGCTTATTTTGATACACATATACAAAGAATATATTTTGTATTAAATAAACTAAGTTAATTATAAAGAGATACTAATTGATACAATAATATTGAATATGAAATATATTGGTGTATATACATAATGGC